ATTGAATTAATCACAGTAAAATACAACACTAAAGCAATATTAAACCTAACATTAGTATTATTCAATACAATAATTTGAAGAAAAAATGTTATAATATTGATATAGTTATTTAAGGCTTGATCTTGAGATTCTTCTGATGGTAAAACAATTCTTTAAATATCCGTATCGATTTATTTGCCGAATTTACTCCTTCTATTGACCATCCATGACAGAAAATATTACTAATATATTAAATGTGTCTAAAAATGCCAGAAAAAAATTGCAGAAAATAATCTATAAATTGACTAACACTAGAGCAACTCGGTATACTTTAAAATCGTCTCTGAAATCATACCTTGCAACTAAAAGTGCATTCACTTAGGAATGGACAAATCCTGTATGCATTCATTTAGTATTTATCTTGTAACTTTTAAACGGTTTGTTTGATATCAATGAAATATTTGGCAAATTTTCTATAATATTGTCTAACACTATAAGGCCGTAGAGCAACTCTGTATACTCTAAATTTGTCTCTGAACACAGACTTAAGAAGTGATAAATGTATTATGCATTCATTTAGTATTTGTCATGTAACTTTTTTTATTTTATTTGTATGATATTAATAAAAAATTTAGCAAATGTGCTCAAAACTAAATTGTCTATAATATTGGTTAATACTATATAACCATAAAGTAACTTGGTATACTTTAAAATCGTCCCTGAAGGGAATTGATATTTCTGATCTAATGTAATAAGTTGTTTCATTTTAGATTTAATTGGATCTTAGGCAAAACCGCTGTAGATTCTCTTAGAGATTTTTTTCATATCTGTTACTATTTTTATAAAAATTCTTCGAACAAAAAGTCTATCCTTTTGCACATCGATCAACTGACCATTTATCCTTTTACCTATCGATTATAAATCACTTCTTGTTCTGCAAAGATGTTTGCAAAATGCCTTTAATGATCTACACGTGTCGACTTCAAAGGATCATTAATCATAACTCAGGAGGAAACAATTAATGTCTTCAGATGAAAATAATAGATGATAGGTATTTAGTGCAATTTTTTCTATTTCTATTACCTTTGTCGATTTCTTAAAGAGAGTCGTTTCTATTCTATTCCTATTGTGGCATATTGACGCGTTAACAAGGAAACAAAACAAGAAATGCAATCCATTTAGTTAGTAGACCTCTCTTGATTTCGATCTAAAGAAAGGTGATAAATATCTTGCAGACAGCATTCAAGATACCGTTGAAACAATCCATCTATGTTTAACATTGTCGTTGGGAAATTGAAAAGTTATATTGGACTTGGCAGTGGAGGCCAAGATACTAAAATCAAATAGATCAAAGAAAATTTTTGATGTTTAGGGATGATTTTGAAGTGCTGCTATCATTTCTTAAGTCTATGTATATCTTCAGGGATGATTTTAGAGTATACCAAGTTGCCCTTGGATTTTATAATTTTAGACAATATTATAGATTATTTAATTTTGTTTAGTCTTGCTAAATATTTCATTAATGCCAAACAAGTCGTTTAGAAGTTACAAGACAAATACTAAATTTGTAAACAACTAAAGAGTTGTCAATTCCTAAGTGAAAGTACTTCTAACATTCTCAGTCACAATATTTATGTTCGGAGACGATTTTAAAGTATACGGAGTTGCTGTAGAGTTTTATAGTGTTTGACAATATTATTTTAGGTAATTTAATTTTTAGCAAATTTGCTAAATATTTCATTAATATCAAACGAGTCGTTTAGAAGCTACAAGACAAATACTAAATAAATCCACTGATCCATTTCATCATAAAGTACTCATTTTTAATGTCTATGTTCAGGGACACTTTTGAAGTATATAGAGCTGATCTAGTGATTTATAGTATTAGACTATATCATAGATAATTTAATACAATTTATCCAAATATTTCATTCATATTAGATAAACGACATAAAAGTTACAAAATATTTTATAAACAAATGCACAAATTTTTTGGATCAACATTGCTGCATTGTAAATTTAACAATTTTAATCTCTTAACTGATAGATTTTTCATAAATAGTACATTTTTCTTTAATATTTTTTTAAATTAAGTATCAAGCTTATAACTACTTTCTTGTACAAAATTTGCTAAAACAGCTAATAGTAAAAGTATTAGATCATTTTCTCTAGTTTTCAATAAATGATCAATAATTTTGAAAATATTGAAATGATGTCCAAATAAAAATATTGTTTTCTTCAAAGGACATTTAGGTCAACGTTCTGTATTAAAAATAATCATTACTTTTTTATTATACATATTTACATACTTTTTTATTATACATATTATATGTATTTACATATATATATATATATATATATATATATATACATATATATATGTATATATATATATATATATATATATATATTACTATTTCCAATTATAAAAAAATAAAAAAACAAGTTTCTTTAACGATCTCCTTAACTAAGACCGTAACCATCATTAGACTTTGTTGCTAACAATATTATAAATAATGATAATTATAATAAATTAATATTTATTATAAATAATATATATATATATATATATATATATATATTTATTACGCATAATGCGATACTTAATAATTGATGATTATATTCAATAAAAACTTTATTGCATAGTAAAAACATTCACATTTGTGCAACCGTGTTAGTAAAGGCGCTGGTGGCTAAAGTATTAATATTAGGTTAATGCAGTCTATGGAAAATTTGTGCAAAATTGAATAATCTTGATGTTGTCTAACATTATAAAGCCCTACAACAACTCGGTATACTTTAAAATTGTAATTGAATTATGGTAATTGGTCTGGGTGTGTTGAAAGTGTCTTTGTTTATTATATTGTTTATAACTTTTAAACTAATTGATGGATATTAAATATGTATGAGACAAATTTGTTTATAATTGAATAATTCATAAGTTATCTTTACAACAAAATTGTCTATATTAACTCAGTATACTTTAAAATTAATGTTGAACATTAAAATCCTAATATCTATGTACTGTAGTGTTCATGTTTGTGCATTTGTTTATTTTATCTCGTGTAACTTTTAAACCGTTTGTGTGAATTATATGAAATATTCAGTAAGTTTATACAAAATTAAATAGTTTATAATATATAATATATTATATAAAATATTGTCTTCATATGACAATCCAGCAACTCAGTATACTCTTAAACTGCACTGAAACCTAAAAAAAAATCTTGACCCCTTGTTTTAAGAATGATTTTGGTAAAATTTCATTTATAATTTATGTGCGGCTGTTTTGGTAAATATTTTAAGTTTTTTAATTTTTCATGTATTTATATTAACAAAATTATTTCCTCTAGCTCTTTTATTAAATTACATAATTAAAATAACAATTATTCATGCAGAAGTGTATGCATCGTTTTGCTTTATGGCCAATTTCCATAAAAAGGCATATAATGATTATAAATATGGTATCATTAGTAATATATATATATATATATATATATATATATATATATATATATAATAAATACATACAATAATATTGTATAAACTAGTGGCTAATTAGGAAAAAATATCAGGACTAATTATTTTTAAAAATTCGCTTTTCTCTATTTATTGAAAACAGTTATAACTGTTTTCTGAAGAATACTTTGGGTGTACTTTTTGTAATAAAGTCTTCATAACTTTCAATAATATATTTGAAATTTGTAGAAACAGTTGTGAAGTAGATAAAATTTTCAAAAACTTTTATTTATACCAATTTTTACGTATATAACACCGAAAAAAAAATTACAAGCCCAGAACCGCTTCCTATTAAATCTTTTGTTTCTAGACTATTTTGCCACGTTCCAGTTTCCAGACTTGTAATTCCTTTCCAGTACAATATTTTGAAAAATAGTCATTAATAAAAGTTTTGAAGTATTTCACATACTTACCACGTGCGTAAACAGATTTTTCAAAAATTTGTTTTAAAAAAAGTTATTGGCGTAAAACCACAAAAAGTCGCCAAGAAATCACTCACTACAAAACCTCATTATTAGTCCATTTGTAATAAAATTCTCAACTGTTATCAAGTCTCAATAAATCCACTAAACATCCAGAACTGTGAGAACATACAAGTAATTCCCGTAAACCTTGTTCCAGTTGATTTTTCCAACAAAAAACAAGATTCTTGATTCCTGATCCCGATCTTCCTCTTGAAGTGTTAAAGATCATCTCCACTGATAAAGTTATTTCACAGCAATTTAACCAGATCATGATAATAAATACAACAAGTCGAGAAAATTATAACATGTCAGTGTCAGTGTCAGTGTCACTTGGTGTCAAATGTAAGTTTCCACACAATTTTATTTATCCTGGTGATGAATGAATAAATTTGATATGATTTACCAGGACGTGTGTTAAATCACACTTAAGACTACCTAATGATGATATACAAGGACAGCATGTCAGCAAAGGATTATTATTATAAATAAATTTGATTGCGAGATTCTAAATCTCAAAGGAAAGTCCGCAATCTGCAATCTGCAGACTGCAGTCTGCACGCAAAATGCTATGTAAGAGGAAAAAACAGGAACGGATTCGAAGAAATTTAACAAACCATAGAAATTTCACTTTAAAAATCTAACTTCTCAGTGCTTGAATTATCAAACTTGGTGTTCCACAAGGTCAAATATTTGGTTCAATTTTTTTCCAGAATGCGCTTGCTCTATCAATTTTCCCCCTGAA